CTGGGGTTGGTTTGTTGGGTTAAAGTGAATTTGTGTAGTCACTTTAGTCTGTGACTTGTTTCGTCACCTGAGCTTTGCCTGAGTTCGAACCAGGCCGAGATCGGATTACGTGTAGTCCTCTGACCGATTCGTGTAGCGATATTGGATGCGCGTAGAGGATTTGTAAACAGTCAGTTATCCGGTGATATGAATGTTGATTTTATATGAGATGTGGACCAGTGAGTTTTAGGATGGCTAGTTACATGACCTCGTTTCTTGGCTAAGTATAAATTCTTGTGAGATGTAGGTCAGTTGTGTTTCTTTTCATACATAGATAGGGGTTAATATTTAATTATCTATAATTTGAGATATATGGTATATACATGAGGGTTTCCTTGTTTGGATTATTTCGCTCGACGTACTGCATCTCTTGTTGTAGATTTTTAAGTATTAATTTTATCTAGTTGTATGACATTATTACTTGGATGATTATTCTGATCGCTTGCTGCATGATCGACTTGTTACTTGATTGATTTTGTTGAATTTCCAGTTACACATTTTTTTTTTATTTCTATTATCGTATCGTTTTCTGCTTGAGTTTTCGTTAGCTCTATTTGTTTTGTGGGATCTTGTTGTGTGCCATGCACGCTGACGTACACCTGTTTTCTTTGGTGTACGTTAAACTTAGAGAAAGAACAGGATCAGCTAGGAGATCGTCAGGAACCAAAGGATTCTTAGCATGGGTGTCTTACAGACAGAACAGAAGAAGCCGAAGCCTAGTGTTTCTTTTATTAGTTGATGGTTCCAGCTTACTTTTGTAGTTCTTTCTTTTTCCCGTTGATCGATGTATTTTATACTTCTCCAGTATTCATTTGTTCAGTTTTGTATAAGGACATGTTGACCCGAATATTATATCTTGGATGATCTTCATTTGTGATATGTAATATTTTGTTCTGAGTTTGTCTATTATATTCTTGCTAACTATGATCGGGGACCTGTGACTTCGCATTGTATTTATTTCTAGACACTTAGCGTATTAGGTTGAGGAGAAATATTTATTTTTATTTGTTCTCCTTAATCTAATACATCGCGGGCTTATTCACGTTCCGATTCTCGGGTATTTTGGGAAGTGGGGCGTGACAATATTGTTTGTAAGTATTGAAATTTTAGAATTTTAATGTGCTTATTTGAACTTTTGAGGTTGTTTCTATAATTTTAGAGACATTGAGGTATTGACTGAAAATTTTTAATTCTTCACAGGCTGCTGTTAATTTCTTAATTTCATGTTTGTTGTTTTAAGTTTTTAAACGTTAGGATGTTTTTTATAATTTTAAACTTTTTAGGGTATTTTGTACAATTTTAAAACTTTAATGATTATTAGTAGTGCATCACTCTAATGATTATTGTGCTTCTCAAAAGGATGATTATAACAACTAGTGAATCTCTCTCTCTCTCTCTCTCTCTCAGGTTCTCTTAATTTTCTTTTAAATTACGCAATTATATAAAAGATTTGTTAAGAAAATTAACTATTTGATTAAATAAAAAGTTCCCCACTCTTGACGTGTAATTTATTAAGGCTTAAGATAATTAGTTATTAATTATAATTCATTCTAAGAATCCGCATGTGTGAGAAGGTGAAACAACATCCTTAAAAAATTAACCATTTTCCCTTCGCTCAACTTGAATTTTTTTTCTTGAGTGGATTGTTATATTCAAATGAAAGATTGATATCTTCTTGTCTTTCATATAGGTGCATAAACTTACTCTTTCATAATGTTTTCGTCGTTATATGTTAATCAAAAATTGAGTGTGACGACTGCTTTGATGTGTTATTTTGATGTGTACAAAGACACACTTCTATTGATGTATGAAATAAGGCTATAGAATGAGAATGGAACTGATCAAAAAAATCAGAATTGAAATATATAATTGACAAAAATAACTTGATAATCATCAAAGACCAGTTTAATTGCTTAGACGAAAAACAGAATGCTAATATAACAAAACAATCATATATATTTAGAGAAATAATTTTTCCTTAAATTATTTAGAAATAGATGCGATAATAAATTCTGAACTTTTTTAGTGGCGTGCATTGAAATATTTATATTTCACTAGACATCTTTAATTAAATTGGCTACGATTAATAATTTTTATCAACCAATCATGATATTTAACCATATGCAATGTACGTATATCCAACCTAGTAAGTAGATAACTCTGCGTTAATAGCCAATTACAATGTTAGTCCAAAGAATTAAGCATACTTATATGTTCCTTTAACGAGGCAAAATAATTCATGGAATTTTTCTCAATCATGATCACTTTGTTTCAGAATTTATTCTCAGAGATAAAAAGGATGTGCAATTACCTTTGCTCCTGATATGTAATACTGCCAACAGGAGAAACACCTATAGCTGTTCCGGTACAAAATACCTCATCTGCATCCATTATTTCCTCAATCGCAACAAGCCTTTCCTCAACCTGAGCAATTAATCTCAATTAAACATATGAAAAAAAAATCATTCATGTTTCATGAAATTTAGAAATATGAAGAGTGCTAACTTGATAGCCACAGACACGCCCAAGTTCAATGATGCTTCTACGTGTAATGCCGGGAAGTATCGTACCCTGAGCGATTGGAGTTAAAATAACATTTCCCTGTACAAAAAAAATTTATATAAATATCAAATGAATAAGACATGATCCCCCCCCTAAAATTATAGTAAAGCAGCCGAGTTCTGGATGTAGGGAAGATGCAATCCTAGTAGTTTAGGGCTAAAATTTGACTTAACAAAACCAGTTTAAGTCTTGGTCAAGTTATTTGCGAAACTAGGACTAGTATTGGATCAATTTTTGTTCCACTAAATCTATTAACTTAAGTTGCAAATAGGCTAACAAAGTATATCTTATTGGAGTATTTGGTATAAAATCAATAGAAAATTAGCTAGAAGAATCTCAGAACTTCATTGTTCCTTTGTGTCAATGAATGTTGTATCTTGGAGCTTATTTGCATCCTGAAACAATGATCTTAAAATTTTATTTAGCCTACTATGATACAAGGATCCCAGGTACGAACCGCTTCTAAGAACAACAGTCTAAGTTGTCTCAGGTGCACCTACTAACAACTACAAATGAGAACGGGTTATTGATTTAGCAACTTAAACAAGCTAAAATACTTACACTATCTTGAGAACTTGTACGAGTAGTAGATGGATTAAAGTTTTAACAACTTAAAAAATGTGTAAGCTTTGGGGTACCAATGGGTTGGGAAAAAATTCTAGATTGTCGAAGTTAATAAAGGTGTAAGCCTTGAGGCATCAAAGTGTCAAATAAAAACTCTAGAGTATTAAAGTTTGAAAATATGTAAATTTTAGGTACCAAAGTGCGCACAACCCTTATTAAATTATAAGTGTGATTGCATGCAGTGCCCCCATAAGGAAAAAAAACTCTATATCCATCACTAGTTGAAGATAAGGGCAGGGATGGAGGTAGGGGTGGAGGAGAAAAAGGGAATATGAGTATTATGGGATAAGAGAAAATTAGGTGTAGAAGAAAGTAAAGATGGGTCCAGTAGCAGAGCCAGAAATTTTGGTAGGGGGGTCCAAACAAAATGAGAAAAAAACATAAAAAATGAACCAAGATAAGGTCTGGTTAAGTATGAGAGATTGAGGTGGAGGAATGCAGGCATATGAGGATGGAGGGAATACAGGCGAATGAGGGCGAAGAGGATGCTCACGAGTAATCAAAGGATTTGTGCTCTATTCGCAATTTGTTCCCGACTCATGAGAGAAATTAAAGAATTTTGAGAAAGTTTAAGGATTATACATTTTACTGCCTATATTAACAAGTGTTTTTTTTTCTTTTGGGGTTTTTGTACTTATGTACCCCTTAAATCATGCATATCTGCATAACTTCCTCTCCAATCTCAATATTTTAAAATTTTATAGGTTAATTATGACTACAATGTAAAAGTATCGACAAAATAGTCAAATATTTACTCACCATATCTTAAAAAGGTTATCAAAATGTTTTTTTTTCAAAATTGATGATTTTAGTTTGTAATATTTAAATTTTGGGATGGGTATTGCAAGTGTGCATGATTATGACAGTTTTGCACATAGTTGCATATCTACTGTTGGGCGCAGAGTCACGCCCACCGCCGCGGAAGCGATATCACCTGAGAGAAAGCCCTGGCTTTTATTGTCACAAAAACACAAGTCAACCTCTATATTCTTGTTTCTCAAAGGAAACGAGAATAGATAGTGAAATTCTTATTTCTCAAAGAAAACAAGAATCGAAAGTGATATATTTCATCAAAGTGAAATATACACTCTTCCTCTCATCAGCTCTAAGACCGAATATTGAAGGAACCTACAAGCAATAGCCAACAACCAGAAAACAATAAATACACAAGATTTACGTGGTTTGGCAAACTTGCCTACGTCCACGGGAGGGGTGAGGGGAGATTCCACCACAAGCTCGTCTCAAAGAAAAAGATCTAATTTTTACCCAAAAGAAATTGACCTCTCTTTTGTAAATCCCTCTTTTTCTCTCCTCAAGATCTCTCTTTTCTAGATCTAAAAAAAAACTCTTTTTTTTCTCTTAAAAAAAACCCTCTGTTTTTCTCCTTACCAGCCGGCTAAAACCTTCTGCAGTCTTTTTTCTAAGCCGTTGTTCCCCTTCTTTAGAAAACCTAGAAACCACGTTCGTTCCTATTTATAATCAAAGAACAAAACCGAAAGCAGGCCCAAAAGCAAAAAATCCGGCCTGCTTAAAGAAAAACTCCTGCTGGCTGTCTCAGCCACACACGTGGGTGTGGACCCCACTCACAATTCTCCACCTCGTACATCATTTGATAAACCTCAAATTATGGACGAACACCAGAAGAACACCGCGAACATCACTAGAGATCTGAAATCGACCAAACCAGGCCAAACCAAGTCAAACCAGCTGCGCCACTTTACCGCGATTGCCTACGTACCCTCCATCGGGATCAAGCTAACCGTAGTTCAGGATTTGTTCTCCATATAGTCTCTACCTCACACCATCACCGCCCCGAAGGGCCATGCCCTCTTGGGCAAATCAACACGGGCTGATATGAAGCAAGTCCAAGCAATGCTTAAACTTGCTACCTATGACCACCTTGGTCAACATGTCTGCTGGATTCTCATTCGTGTGCACCTTCATGAGAGAAATTTCACCTTCCTCTATGACATCCTGCACAAAATGATACCTGACATCGATATGCTTGGTACGAGCATGATGAACTTGATTCTTCGCCAAGTGAATCGTACTTTGACTATCGCACCACAAGTTCACGTTCTCCTGCTCAATCCCCAAATCGTCTAGAAGACCCCACAACCACAATGCTTCCTTCACTCCTTCTGCCATAGCCATGTACTCGGCTTCTGTAGTAGAAAGTGCCACTGTAGCCTGTAACATCGATCGCCAACTAACTGGAGCTCCATGTATCCTAAATACATAACCAGTAGTAGATCGCTGTCTATCTAGATCACCCACATAATCAGAGTCAACAAACCCATCAATCTGACATGTATCTCCACCAAAACACAGACCCGTATCCGCGGTACCTTTCAAGTACCTCAGGACTCATTTCACCGCTTCCCAGTGCGCCTTTCCCGGATTCGCCATGAATCTGCTGACCACACTAACCGTCTGTGAAATATCTGGACGTGTACACACCATGGCGTACATCAAACTGCCAACTGCACTAGCATAAGGAACACGCTCCATGTGTCCCTTATCTTCCGCTGTAGTGGGAGATTGTTTACCTGAAAGCCTGAAGTGTGGAGCCAATGGAGTCGCCATCGACTTAGCACTTTGCATCCCAAACCTCGCGATCACCCGCTCTATATAGCTCTTCTGACTCAAGAACAATCGCAGATTCGCTCGCTCTCTTCTAATCTCCATACCCAATATTTTTCTAGCAGCGCCCATGTCCTTCATCTCGAACTCTTTACCAAGTTAAGATTTTAACCTATCTATCTCCACCCCGCTCTTAGAAGCAATAAGCATGTCATCCACATACAAAAGGAGATAGATATAATCACCTCCACGAAGCTTCCGAATGTAAACACAGCAATCGTAATCACTTTGGGAAAATCCATGCTTCAGCATGAAGGAGTCAAATCGCTTGTACCACTGCCGAGGAGATTGCTTCAGTCCATAGAGTGACTTCCTCAAACGACATACATGATGCTTCTTACCCTCAACCTTATAACCCTCAGGTTGATGCAGTAGATCTCTTCATCCAATTCTCCGTGCAAGAAGGCCGTTTTAACATCGAGTTGTTCCAGCTCAAGATCACCATGAGCAACAATACTCTGCAAGAAGGCCGTTTTAACATCGAGTTGTTCCAGCTCAAGATCACCATGAGCAACAATACTCAATAGCATCCGAATAGAAGTGTGTTTCACCACCGGAGAAAATATCTCATTGTAATCCACACCCTCTCTTTGTGCAAATCCTTTAGCCACTAGTCTCGCCTTGTACCTTATGCCACCGAGCTCTGAAGGATCTTCCTTTCTCTTATACACCCACTTACAACCAATAGTTTTTCTTCCTACGGGCAATGGGACCACCTCTCATGTTTGGTTTTTCCGAAGAGATTCCATCTCCTCCTCTATCGCAACCAACCAACTCTCACTATCTTTGTCCCGAATAGCTTCCTTGAAGGAGACTGGCTCATCTTCCTCCATCGAGAGTGCGTATTCAACCAAATTAACCTGCCCATAATGCTTCAGGGGTTGATCAGCCCCCAGCTTTTGTACCTGCTTGTATGCTCGCTTTGGCCTAGTGGAAGCCAAAGTATCCTTGAGCTGCTGTTGTTGTAGTGCCTGTGTATTCTCCTGCTGAACCTCCTCCTGCTCAAGCTCATCATCTACCTGATTTCCCACTTGAACATGACTAGAACCTGGTTGGTCTTTAGGTTCTATCTCAATAACCTGGGACTTTGAAGTCCCAACAGTCCCAACACCATCATCCTTGGGCGCCCTAGCAATCATGGATTTTTCATCAAAGGTAACGTCCCTGCTGATCACGAACTTCGAATCTTCTGTACACCAAAGGCGGTAGCCTTTTACGCCCTTTGCATACCCCAAGAATATCGCCTTCTTGGCCCTCGCGTCAAGCTTTCCCTCGTTGACGTGATAATAGGCGGTACATCCGAAAATTCTGACCCTCTCATAATCCGCATGTTCCCCTGACCACACCCTATAGGGTGTATCACCATCCAATGTCGAATGTGGAGAACGGTTCATAATGTAACATGTTGTAGCCACCGCTTCTGCCCACCATTCGTTGCCTAATCCAGCATAAGATCGCATACTCATTGCCTTCTCCCGTAATGTTCGGTTCAATCTCTCAGCGACCCCGTTCTGCTGTGGTGTTGACCTGACTGTCCAGTGTCGAACAATGCCCTCTTGATCACAGAACTTCTTAAAAGCACCATCTGTATACTCTGTACCGTTGTCAGATCTCAGTGTCTTTAATTTCTTGCATGTCCTGTTCTCAACCATTGCTTTCCACTTCTTTAATGTCTCGAATACCTCATTTTTATGCTTAAGAAAATAAATCCAAGCATATCTAGAATAATCGTCTATGAACGAGACAAAATACCTGGAACCACCCTTGGAAGT